TTCATTATCAGTGCTCTGTATTAAATATTTCAAAGTGAAGCTCAGAAGTTGTATGCTAGATTTCATTTCCCCCAGCAAATGATTGGACCAGGTTTCCAGTGACTCAGTCACAGTAGCTCCAATGCCACAAGCCATTGGGATGCTTGAGCTCAATAAGCAAATAAAAAATGTATTTTCCTTAGGCAGATCAATATGCAAGGCACTAGTATTCACCATGCTTGCTGCCATGATCCTGCAAACTTAGTCGTACTCCTCTCTGCTTTTCGGAGCCTCACACTGATTAAACAAAAAAATTTCTTACACCTGTTTCAGTCAGTTATGAAGGCTCAGATTCACAAAGAAAGGAGATTTCTACGGGTGCCTCTTTGGACTGATGAAGCCATTCGCACACCTTATAATTATTAGGTGTACAGGAATTTCCATACAGAAACTCAGGTGCTTGATGTACTAAGCTGTTGCTAGTCACTCAGAGCCAAAGCATCTGTCTCAGGACTTTTTCATTTAGTGTGTCTCACTGCTCAGTAGGGCCAGCCAACAGCAAAGCTGGTTCATACAAGACGTTCCTAAGGGACCAGTGTTTTCCAGTTTGGGCACTAGTTTTGGATCTGGTGTTTGTTTGCGTTTTGTCATTAATTTGTTCATTAGTTCATTTATTTTTTGCTCCATCCTGTGATCTGGAAAGGGCTAAGGCATAGCACACAAACTTGTAGTTCCTGCATCCCTACCAGCACTACTAATTAACATTTACACAATGCTTTACATCTTCAGAAACCTTCAGAAATATTGATGAACTGAGGCTCTTCTGTGCTAGAGGAACGTGGGAAATGCAACAAACAAATGGGTCTTAGGACCAAAACATGGCCGGCTGACTCCACATGGCCACCAAGCAAATTAGCTGCCCCACTCTATTATGCTGGAAGCACTGAACTGTCTTTAAGGTGCTGTTAACAAGAAGTTCATCACAGCTTGGTTTCCTCAGTGCATGTCAGCGACTGTGGAGTTAAGAGGAGGTTAATCAGGACAGCTTTGCTCCAGATTGTTTGAGGCAGCGTGAGCCACTTTAGTTCTGGTGGCCTAAAAATTTGCATGTGCTTAGGTTTGAAAGGCAGGGCAGTGGCTGGGCTTTCACAAAAGTAGAATCATGTTTGCAAGAGATAATCAAGTGTCTTCTCTTACTCCCCTTCCTTTCTACCCTAAGAGCATGAGCAGGGGATATGGAAAAGTCTTTCCACGAGCCACCACTGCTATT